GTATATAGGTCTATATAAAATATATAATATTATAATATGTATAATATATAATATATAGTATATAGTAGTATATTTAATATGTTTATAACTCATTAAGCATTGTCATGATTATGTCGTTATTATTGTCATCACATATCGTTATAATCATTAGTTATATTATACCTTTTCATATAGTTATTAATATTATTTTTATCAATGCAGTTTTAATTACGTAAGTGGATGTAAATGCAAACAAAGGCAACGATATAAAACACTATAATTTTGGCTTTTCATTCAAATCTCTTGGTAATATTCAATAAATTGGCGAGTTGACTATTTGGGGCCGAGTTGACTTGGGACCGAGCTCAGTTGGCATGGGGCCGAGTTGACATGGGGCCTAGTTGACTTGGGGCCGAGTTGACATGGGGCCGAGTTGACTCGAATTCCCGCAAAGGGACAGTGCTAAAACATACGCAAACACGTGCTCTTGTGGGACAACACGTCACGTGTGTTTATGATACGCACGTGTATTCCTGGCCCTGTTTTGATTGGCCAGTTTTTAGGTTTGATTGACACCCCGGAAAGGTCCATAACTATTGTTGATTGATATTTCACACGCGGGAGCTGCTGCCAAGTGGTGAGGAGGTGTTTTTCCATCATGATTTATATCATATAATTTCTTTTTTCCCCCCTATAGATTTTGAAAAGGTGTCGCATATACCATGTATTTGCTATAATGTGTATCATAGCATCTGTGATGACAATCACCAACCTATTTTACGTCATCAAATCCGTCTGCTGTAGGTCAGCAGATATGAACGTACTACGCGGAAAACTTCCCGAGCCAATGGAGCCAATTCGTGTGGTCGATAGTAAAATGGAGCCAGACGTGCTAGAATTACATAGGCCTAAGCAGAGTATCGGCATAGGCCCACTCAATGAAACGCAAAATAAACGAAAACAATGGAAGATTCTAGTCTTTGTTGGTATAGACATTCTAAAACAATGGAGAGGATTTGCGAAATTATCGGCCATGAAAAAACATGATATATCGTATACAGCAACAATAGAATGTCCTAAACATAATCAATCTATTTTTCTAACACTTGGCTCAGATGTTAAACTACTGGACAACCAAGACTCAGCAGTGTTCGGCATGGCACCAGATACATTGCGTATCAAATGGGGGGAACTACGAAAAATAAATAATAGATTCAGGAGTCAAAGCTGGATATTTTTTGGTTTAGAAACACCACTGAGGACGAAGAGACTGATAAAAGACATAGGTGAATTCAAAGTCGATTACACGTGGTCTTATATTAGTTCGGCTGACATCCAAATGCCGTACGCATACTTTAAACCACTTTTGGATAATAAAAACAAAAAATTAGTGAACGTTGCCAAAACTAAGAACAGGCTTATTGCATGGATGGGAAATAACTGCAAGAATGAGGCTTTCTGGCCTAGAATGAAATTCATAGAGAAACTAAATAATGTTATTGGTGTAGACACATATGGAAAATGCGGCCGTCTTGAATGTCAGTCAGAAAATTGCACCGAAGAGATGTCGCATTACAAATTCTTCTTGGCTTTAGAAAATGCCGAATGCGACGAGTACATTACGGACCAGTTTTGGCTGACAAGTTTGGCAAATAACGTCGTTCCGATTGTGTATGGTCCACGAAAAGAAGATTATTTCCGATTTGCTCCTCGCTATTCTTTTATACACGTCGGTGACTTCCAGAATATTTCACTTCTTGTCGATTTTATTAACATATTAAATAGGAATGATAATCTTTATAATAAGTTCTTTCAGTGGAAAGGGACGGGGAAAATCAACAATGTGTACTCTGGTTTAAAGCCTTCATCATTTTGCAGTCTAATACCAACACTGAAAAATGGACCTAAAATTCGGAAACCTTTAAAATTAGGATCATGGTTCCAATCTTGTAGGAGAGAATCAAATTCGGCTAATAAAATATTTACATAAATATTTTATATGTATTTTAACCTGTTAGTGGCGGTTATTATCGCTTTTGGTTAGTACGGTACGAATAAAAAAAAAATAATTCACGTGACGACATCTGATGCACTAAAAAAATGGGAGACCGATTTTTCTTTGTTAGACCATTCAGAGAAAGCCTGCAACGATTGTAAGCCTGCAAAAATGCAAAAAAAAAAAGGAGAACACAAAGCCGGTTTTCCACTAGGCACAAATTCGAAAGCGTCGGTTCATGCACGCGCATTCACGTTTCTATCGGAGTTTTCGCTTCAGCGCGCGGAATCGGTAGTTCGAACTGTCTACTTTTTGCGAAGCGATGAAAATGCACAACTAATCAGAGGTGGTCAGGAAGTGAACCGACGCTTTCCATTCGCGTGAATAAATTCGCCTAGTGGAAAACCGGCTTAAAAGGACGGTTAGGAACAATTTGGTTCGGGGCCAAAATCGGTCCGCCGGACCGATTTTCCGCTTGTTTTCCGCTTACGAATTTATTCGCGCGAGTCGAAAGTGTCTGTTCATGCGCATTTACATTTCTATCGGAGTTTTCGCTTCAGCGAAATCGGTAGTTCAAACATTACTTTTTGCGAATCAATAAAGGTGCGCAACCAATCAGAATTCAGGAAGCGAAACGATGTCTTTAATTTTCGCGAATAAATTCGCCGAGTGGAAAACTTGCTTCAGGTAAGCAATAGGTTTTGGCGGAAAGAACGATTCCTAAGCTTTTGTGGACCCGCACATTTTTATCCAGCCAATCAGAGTATTAATAATTATGCCTACAGTGGGAAAACAAAAAGATAGTCCAGTCAGTCTACGAAAAAAAGGGGTCAACCCGGAACAATTTGCATTAGTAACGAAAATAATTGTTTTCAACTTGAGGAATAACAAATCAAAAATCTAGATCTAGAAAGATCTCGGCGCTAATGCACTTTAGTACTGTAACACTTCTATCTACAAAAATTGTCTTTTTACCTACTGTGTGTACCTAGCAATATCTTACGATGCTTCTTCATTCAGATTCTGCTTAATAACGTCGGTTTTTAGCACTTTATTACTAAAAATCACGGCTTTAACGCCTAATATGGCTCCATCCTTTCCTTCATCTCCTATGGCGAATTGGCGAATGAGCCTGTTGCCAGAATTCAAACTTTATGAGTTGGTGTTGCCAGTATTAGTATATCAAAATCAAGCGTCAGATATTCAGAACTTATTTGTAGAGCGAAACTCCACTACGGTACTGTACAACAGTATGACGAGTTCGATGCCGGGGTTCGATGGCTCGTGAAAGAAGGGAAAAGGAAGGCAGCAGAACATGCATACATTATGAAAGAATGTATAAATAATATATGTAGGTCCTAAATGCAATGTCTTAAGTGTAATAATGGCCATGATTGACAAATGATTGGTTTATTGTAATAATTGTTGGGTCTAAATGTAATACGGGTCCTATGTGTAATCATTTTAGGGTCTAAATGTAATAAAGGCTCTAAGTGTAATAATTTTTTAATCTAAACGTAATGTTTAGACTCAAGTAATGTTAAACGTAAAGGTCCATATTTAATAATTTTTGGGTCTAAATGTAATATAGGTCATAAACGCAATGTCCTAATTGTAATAATGGCCATGATTGACAATGATTAATTGACTGTAATAATTTTTGGTCTAAATGTAATACAGTTCCTATGTGTAAATATGTCTAAATGTAATAAAGTTTTTAAGTGCAATAATTGTTGGGAAATGGAGTTACAAATGGATGCAATAGACTGGGACCTGTGTTGGAAGAGAAATTAATTCAATGTTACATATAAAAAAAATTGCACAGTTCAATTTTAAATTTTTTACATAGACTATTACCTACAAAACATAGACTAAATGTATGGAAATTATCTGCAACCAATCTATGTGAGTATTGTAATATTACTGAAAATGAAGAGCACATGCTATGTAAATGCAAAGATATAGAAGCATGTTGGACGAAATTACACACTATGATGCGATCATGTTTTAAAATCTATGATAACTTACAATGGAACAAAATCGTTATTGGAAGCTATAGCGAAAGATTGAACGAAATGATTTCAATTTTGACGTTTTGTATTTATAAAGTTAAAATAATGAATAGATTATGTTTGAGGACAAAATGTCCTTGTGTGATGTTTTTATCTGAACTAACCAGACTAATTACATGTGAATTTTTAATTAATAAGGAAAAAGCAAAAAATAAATGGTGCATGGTCTATCTAGATAAGCTTAAATAAATATATGTATAAATAAATGTGTGATGGCTGACTTCTACGGAAGACAAGTAATAGAAGAAAATGACTAAAAAATAATAAATAAAGAATACAATAGTCGATGTCTGAACACTTATTATGAAGAACAGTAAAGAGACGTGTACTAAGTAATTACATAACAGATATATATTTCATACTATTATTTACTTAATATATATAATTGTTAAAATGTAGACTATGTTATGTGTAATATATCTACGTAGTTTAAGACATTATGATGAAATAAAAGTGGGACGATCCCACAAAAGAGAACAAATAATTGTTGGGTCTAAATGTAATAAAGGTCCTATGTGTAATAATTTTTGGGTCTAAATGTGAAGTTCTATGTGTAATATTTTTTGGGTCTAAATGTAATAAAGGTCCTACGTGTGATAATTTTTTGCTCGATGCGGTCATACTAATTACCGTCAACAGGGCCACCGAGGGAGACCACGGGCCCCTGGACATCTTCGCTGCCTGGGCCCATTGGTTGGGGGTCTGGTGCCACCTAGGGCCTCAGCGGGATCGAGGAGCAGATCCCTGGTGTGCCCCCACCCAGGAATCTACGGCCTTTTAACAAATTAGAAGACTAATTTATTCGATTATAGAGTGTCTAATTTCACCAAGTCATAAAATGGCCCCTAATAAAAACAGGAAAAGTATAAGCTATCCTTCATTCAAACGTGCTGGAATGATTAGGTATCAAAGTTTACAGTAGCGGATGATCCAGGAATTTGAAGTAGAGGAAGCCGGGCACAGAGAAGGAATTTCACAGATGGACGATCTAGAGCCTGTCTAACTCAGCCCCACCATAATGGAGCTGAAGTAAGAAAATTGCAGCTTTAGACTTAAATTTGAGTAGAATTTTCCCCAGTTACCACGGCCCATTGATCTCTACTATAATAATAATAATAATAATAATAATAATAATAATAATAATAATAATAATAATAATAATAATAATAATAATAATAAACAATAACAACAACAACAATAATAATAACAATAACAACAACAACAACAATAATAATAATAATAATAATAGAGATATGTGCCTGGGCCTCTCGGCGCCACAGACCGTCAAAAACCTTCAACAACCGTTTTTGACAGTAATTAAATGCGTGTACATTAATACTAATTACCGTCAACAACGCTTGTTATGTTTACGGTATTTAGTATGTGTACAGTAATACTAATAACCGCCAACAACCTTCATACTGTGATATACACGTACAGGGAATAGGCACTAATAGATTAATTATTTTTTTAATTTTTTTTTAATTTACCATTTTATTCATTTAATCATACATTACATTCAAGATGAAAATAAACAAAAACAATTAAATAGGTGCCCCTTTTTTCAATACTTAGAGTAGTATACATATAACAACATTTGAACATTTTTATAAATTCTTTTACTAGTGAAAATATAATATTGTATTTCATATTCAAAACTTGTACCATTACGTTAGGTGAACTATTTATATACCAGAAGCCAGGGTAAGACCATGAGTTGAAACATTTAAATATTCATTATTTATTTGAAGCTTTGGAAAAGAAAATTCAGTGAAGACCAAAATGAAAAGAATTTATCCTGATTACAGGCGGAAAAATATATATATCTTGTAATATTATAGTATCTAACAATTTCTCTCTTTATATTGTTATATATGGCAATACTTTCTGTTTACTATTTCTATAGATAATTTCCTTTACTAATATAATAACAACATTTATACAGTTATTATTTTTTCCATTCATTCCAAGTATTATCATTTCCTTTGAAAATTGTAATTGTATTTGAAGGTTTTTATTCATCCAGCTTTCCAAACCTTTCCATATCTTATATATTTTTTCACAATCCCGAAAAATGTGGTCAATTGTTTCAGGAAATTGCTTACAAAAAATACATAATGGTGAATCAGTATACTTTAATCTATAGAGATAATGTCTCGTTGGTAATATATTATGTATAATTCTATACTGCAACCATTTCAGATCCGCACCCTCTGTGCATTTGATTGGTATTATATTAAACACTTCCCACTGTTTGTCAGTAAGCTCAATGCCTAATATTTTTCCCATTTTGAATTACACGGCAACTTAGTAAATTTTGAATTGAGCAGAGTATGGTAAAAAAAATTGCATCCCTTTCTAGAAATTTGTAATTGAATTATATTATTAGGGTAAATTGGATAGCATTGGGCGCTAGTGAATTTTCTTATATTATGCTTGCTCATATATGACCTTACTGCCTGTTTAATTCCTTCATACACTAGAAATGATATATCGACAGAGTAAGTATCAATCAACTCTTCTAGTGTATAAAATCTACCGTTTCTATGAATTATATCATTAACAGAAACTATTCCTTTTTTGAAGAGTTTCATATACATGATAGGCTTATTATCAACAATAATATCATCATTATTCCATAGACATTGTGTTTGTAATTCTATTTCATTTCTAATATTACTCTTAAACATTTTGTTGCCCATGAATAGAACACGTCTTTCCAAAAAAGGTTTGTAATGTTTGGAATAATTCAAGTAGTTATCTATTTACTGTCCGCAAACCAAAATAAGTTTCTATCATGAAGTTTTTGGAAGAAAAGCTTGTGTTTGACAAAAGTTTTCTTAGCCATCCTGATTTTTGTGCTGCAATTATTTCATTAATTTTTGGAACATGGATTCCCCCATGTTTGGAAATACGTGTTGCTACCGTACTTCTCTTTTCACATTATCAGGTTTTCCCTTCCATACGAAATTAAAGCACATTTTTTGTAACTTGTCATATAAGGTATATTCCGGTGGGTTTGGAAGGGCTGCAAACAGATGGTTTAATGTCGATAATAAAAGTGATTTTAAAATTCCCAATGGGGTAAGTGTTCGTGCTTTCCAAATATTCATATTTACTTGCATTCTTTTTAATTTTTTTGAATAATTTAACTCAACAACATGTTCCAATTCTACATCAAAGTTGATTCCTAACAATTTAAATTCAGTTTGCGACCAGTCAAATTTATATTCTTTACACAGTTTAAGTTTTGATCTCTTTTTTAAACCAATCCAAATAAGTCTCGTCTTATCAACATTGACCTTTAGACCTGAAAATCTTTCAAAGAAATGTAGAGTGGCAAGTACTGCGTACAAGCATTTTTCAGTTCCATCAAGTATCAATGTGGTATCATCTGCAAATTGTGATAAAACATATTCTATACCACCAATCTGGATACCCTTTATTGACTTATTGTTTCTTATCATTAACCCCAAAATTTCCACACATAATAAAAAAATACAAGGCGATAGTGGATCACCTTGACTACATCCTCTATTGACCCTAAAGAACGATGACGCATGTCTATTTATAACATACTCGACGTAGTATCTTTATAAAATGTTTGTATCCACTGTTGTATGCTGGTTCCAAAATTAAAGAATTTTAACACCTTAAATATATATTGTTTATCAATCGAGTCAAAAGCCTTCTCAAAGTCAATAACAAGAAGTAAGCCTTGAATTTTAAAAGTGTTTGTATACTCCATAAGGTCATAAATTAATCTTGTTACTTCTCCGATATATCTACCCGTAACAAAACCTTTCTAGTCTACTTTTATTATACTAGGTAAAACTTGGTTTATTCTTTTTGATATGGCAGTTGACCCAAGTTTGTAGGATGTATTTAACAATGAAATGGGCCTCCAGTTTTTTAAAAATCTTTTTGGTTTATCTCCCTTTGGAATACATGTTATTAACCCCTGTTTCTGAGAGACTGATAGACTACCTGTTCTGTATCCATAATTTAATGATTCAACAAGAATTTCTCCAAGGTCATTCCAAAAGAATTTCAAAAATTTAGTTGTAATCCCATATGGTCCTGGTTTTTTTCATTTTTCATACATTTTAGAGCTTCCAAAGACTCACTATTACTAATTTCACCCTCCAATACTATAGAAATTGTTGGTTAGCATTTAGGCCTAACTCCTGTATATTTAAGTATTTAAAAATTTGTTTTAAATTAATGGAACTATTGTCATGGCAATTGTACAATTTTTGATAAAATAACTTTACTTCATTTTGAATTTGGTCATTATCATTAATTAGTGTACCATCGGTCTTTTCTATTTCAATAAAGGATTTATTTAAAAAAATTCTATATTCTAATTTTAGAAAAAACTTTGTAGGGTTTTCACCTTTCTCAATCCATTTTGCTTTTGACCTAATAAGCATGCCCTTTATTCGTTGACTATTGATATTATCTATTTCTGAAGTAACGATATTTATTTCTTTTAGGATATTTGTCTTTTCTGAAGTTGATTCAGTATTGTCCAGTTCTACTTCTAAATTTGAGAGTCTTTTTTCTAGTTCTTTTCTTTTTGGTTTGTAGTTTTCTTTTTAGTAGATGAATAATTTATTGTTTGACCTCTTATCATTAAGATTAAAACTTCCCATAAAAGTTGATCATTTATGGAGTATCTTGTTATTCCATCTAAATTGTCTACATTTATTTTGTATTGGTCGAGAGTTGTTTTTATAGTAGTTTTTACGAGATCTACATAGTCTCTATCATGTAGCAGAGAATTATTAAACTTCCAAAATCCTTTTCATCGCTTAAGTTCAGAGAAGGATAATGTAACATTACAATGGAATGATCCGAAGTTATGCTCGGGAGAATTTCACAATTCTTAACTGAATACAATAATTCGTGTGAAATTATTAAGAAATCCAGTCTGGCCTGCTTTATTGGGTTCGTTTGGCGCCATGTGTATCTTTTTTCTTTGTGTTTTAATTCACACCATGGATCCTTTAAATCTAAATTTTCTATTATTTCCTAAACTTTCTGTCTTGCCTTTGGGTTATTTACATATTTGTAATTGAATGTATCTGCTTCGGGATCTTGTACAAGGTTCCAGTCACCACAAATAATAATTTTATCATTATTGAAGTTTGTACTAATACTCTCTATCTTATCATAAAATTCTGGGTTATCCAAGTTCGGGCCATATAAGTTTAAAATTATATCTGTTATCATATATTTCAACACTCAGTG